TCCATTTGTGAGAATTAGGGCCAGTAATTCCACTGTTTTACCTAGTCCCATTTCGTCAGCGAGTATCCCACCTATAAACCAACAAAGTCAAACATATACCTCCATAACAATTTCGCAAACTCGCCTTGAACATCATCTACAAATGAGATATGGTCACATTTACAGCGTACAAAAAGACCCAAACAAGGAAAATACTGGATGTCATTGTGCTCGGGCAAAATGATAGTCCTGAATGATTTTAAAAAGTCGTTTGAAAGTTGAAGATTTTGCACAGTTTCATACTTCAACAAATCCCCACGGTCAACAGGAGCAAAGAGTTCTTTGTGTATCATAAAATTGACAGCATCTTTTTGAAAAGGAAGAAGAGTGGTGCTAAGCCCATCTAACCTAAAAAAAGAAAGAGCACTCAGTTAAAAATCAGCAGGAGATAGATCCAGCGCTTACTTTAGTTCATAAGTGGGAGGGTTTTTGCGCCGTTCACGGATGGCTGTAAAGAACTCGTCGAAGTTCTCACGCTGACCACCAACAGGTGCCTCGGCCCAGAGACTGGACTGCTTTTTGAGGGTCTGAACGCAATAAATTTGACGTCAATTATTTGTGCTTTTCTATTGAAGCAAAAAGAAACGAAAAGGATGAAACAAATGTAAGGCAAGTTCCAAAGTTTGGAAAAAATAATTTTAAGAAAACATACTACATACCTTAGCAAACTGCGGATACAGTAAACCGAGAACAGCATTGGCACAACGGTTATGGCCTCCACGAACCAAATTTCTAACTTCACCTACTCGATGAGTGATATCCATATCTTTAACTGCACTATTCTTTAAGTATACATGTAGCATTAACTTTCCGTCATTATCAGACCAACGCATCTCAAATCCACAAGATGAATAGGACCTGTAATGAGATAGAGTTGCGATTTCTTCAGTGCAATTATGAAGGGAAATCAGAAAGGTAGACACTGTGTTTACAGATACGAACTCTGCTGAATACTGGAGAAGTGCTTTTCCTTTGTGTGAAGGCTTTATCTTGATAAATGATGTCAGCCCATTTTGAGATCGTGAACACCTTCCTCTAACCTTTTTGTTTTTGTCCGACTTCCGTGCGTACACCTAAATTACAGTTGTGTTAAATCATAACGAAGATAAATAGCACTGCTTATTTCAGACTGGTTAGAAAGATGATGGACAGCAGTAGACTCGCCTCAAAGCAAAAAAAAAGTAGAAAACAATAAATGCAGCAAATCTTACTTACCCAGATAAGATTATCTTCGGGAAGAGGGGATTCTATG